ATGTAAATGAGAAAAATCTATAAAGTCTAAAAATATGATTGATGATTGGATTAAATTATATGAATTTTTTGAACATCTACTATTACTATGACACGGAGTATAGCTAAGAATTAGTGTTAAATGCATAAAGCCATATGCATCTAATGTAAAAATAGAGTTGTAGCAAAAATATCTTTTCAAATCATTTTGTGATCGGTCTGCTATAATCTGAGAGAATATACAAATTCTGGCAACAAATTATATTAGTTCAACCCACTAATATGACATCAGTTAGTGTTGAAACAACTCCCGTCAAGACATTGACTGTTATAAAGGTGATATATAAAAGAGAAACATATAAAAAATTCACATGAAAATTACTTCCAAAAATAGCAACATGACAGTAGCAAAAGATAAACAGGATGTCCTATTGTATAGGGTGAGGGAAAGAAATAATTCTTCTTTTAATAAGAAAATCACCATTTACACAATAAGTCTGGTTCATTTGAAATTCATTTCCTTGTAGCACTTGACTGTGAACTCTGTAGTTGATTTGGCGGTGAAACTGAAGCCAAGGAGACTCAGTTAAATTTAACCATTATTGAAAAGGCACTAGAATTTATGATAATTATAGAACTTCTTTTTTCCAAATATTAATTTTTAAGAAAACAAATTAATTCAAAATAATTAAAGACATATTCCCTTCTTAGGCAAATATAATTATGTCAAATGATAGTGGATTTAAATATCAGGGGGAAAAATCACAATAATGGTGGAAACTCAGGGAAACTTAAGAACCTGCTTGATTTAAATGGACCATGGACCCCAATTCCAAGAATCCTGTTCAATAGCCTCATTTTTAGGTATGTGTTCTACACCACATAAAATAAAAGACAAAAAAAAATGAAGCATTTCCCCAATGAAACAGTATTATTTGAAATAATTAGGAATAGATGTAAGCATTCTTCTTATAAAGGTGGACCTTTAGAATAATTTTCTAAATGTTGCTCAATGTGATATTCCTTTATGGGACTGAAGAGTGTACTGGCCATTCACTAGCAGTATGTTATTACTGTCATTACGAATCCATTAGACATATTCAGGTGAGCTGAGTAACAGCCTTGTGACCAAATTCTCCTTCTCTAGCTTTTAATGTAGCATTTAATAGAACACAAATTGCTTCTTATTTATTTTTTTCCTACAGTAAATATTCTAAGAAAATGTAAAAGTCCTCTTCCTTTGCCCTTGGATATCAATAGAAATGTTAAATGCAGCGAATTTTCAGTATTAAGTTGCTGCATTTGTAGTGTTTATTATAATAACCAATAAAGCAGAGCTATATCAGATAAAACTAGTAGGAGAGGTTATTGAATCCAGAACACTCGATCCTAAGTGTAAAGTTTGAGGAGTGGTGGGGGAGGTGTCTAATGCTTAATAAGAACATGCAGTTTCCATTGTGTTTGGAATCTTCTATAAAAATGGTATAAAACTCATGCACACATGTACAGATAATACAAATACACACATGCATTTGTTTGTGAAAGAGACAGGTAGCATGGTTGCAGTAGACCTTATCTGAGTTTGAAAGTTATGCTTGGAACACTCTAGTCTAGTTCTGTACTATCTGATTTCTACCTGCCTTTCTTGGCCCAACAGCTCTTTCTACTAAGCCTGTTTTACCACCCTTGGCAGGTAGGACATGCAAAAGCATTCAACCAATGACTGGCAGCTGGAGTCTTTACATCAGCTTCCATAACCCTTGAGTAGGATAACCCTGAAGTATATGTCCTATACTGGCTGCCAGAGTCTCTCCAACAGGAAAAAAGTAAAATAAATAACGGTCCAGTCACTCACCACCGCAGCTGGCGTTAGTGACTCCCCTGTCGCTTTTCCATACTGTCCTACTGATAGTCCTTTACCTCCCAAATGAAACCTTTCACTTAAATCCTTGTTTTACCTTCAGCTTTTGCTGCTAGAAGAATCTAGACTAAGACATATGCCAACCATATGACTTTTAATTTAATAATCCTAGCAATATTTGAAATTTCAACTTAATACTTAGGTACAAATTTCAAATAATTTTGCTTACACAAACCTTTTTATTGTGATTTAATATGTTGTTCAGGTTTTTATAACGATCCACGCACATAATAGATAAGCTAAAAATGTAGGTATGAGATGTAGGCATATGTTTGCCTTAAAATTATACCAGGCTATTTCAAATACTACTAAATTCACCATTAATTTTGCCAGTTCAACTGTGTTTTATTAATTCTCATCTGAGGATATATTTTCCCCCAAGAGTTTTAGAGAGAGTGGAAGGGAGAGGGAAAGACAGACAGAGAAACATTGATGTGAGAGAGATACATCCATTGGTTGCCTTCCACGTGCCCTGACCAGGCCAGAGCCAGGGATTCCCCTGCAACTAAGGTATGTGCCCTTGACTGGAATGGAACCCAGGATCCTTCAGTCCACAGGCTGACGCTCTATCCACTGAACCAGACTGGCTCGGGCTAAACTGTTTTAATCATTGTATTAACCTTATAATGTTTTTAAATGTCACAAAAATAGTAAGAAGTGTTTCTGCTTGTTATTTATTGATATTCTGCAAATAGCAATTGATCAATCTGCTAATCTTGTAGCATTCATCCACAAGGAACAATGGGAACAGTCAAAATATTTTCCTTAACTTTTAAAAAACTTAAAGAAAAACCAAACAGATCACCATCCATTAACCATCTAGGAAAATGACTCCTTTCATGACTCCATCACAGCTTCATTTCAAATTCAGCAGAAACCTAAGACTTAAAGCTGCCATCTCACTCATGTTACCATGGGAATAGACCTCAGATCAGGGAAAAAGAAATAGATGGGGTTAGGAGCTCTCAAATAATCATTCAAAATCATGATGAGGGTTTTAGAGCTTCTTTCTTCGGTGATGATTTTGTAGCCTCTTAACCCCTTTTTGCCGGTCTGTTTCCATGGAAATATGACAAAAATGGCTGTACAAGCTTCCTGCAGAGACCATTAGCTAGCGTTCTGGTGAATTTCAGCTTCCGCTGCAGTCTAGGCTGGGCTAGATCTTTTTTCTATCAGTTTTACATATTAACCTACACTGTTCCTACACTTTGGCATTTCCTTTCTAATTTCTACTTTCTTTGAAAATTCTCTTCACAAATTTATAGCAAGATCACATTGATTTGTAATAGCACTGGACAAGGCTTCAGGTTTACATTTTAATATATGAACCAGGACATGTAGCCGCAGAGTGTCAGAACTTTTAGAGGCCTACAAAGGGAAATATTATTTAGTCACTAGACTCAAAATCTGATAGATAGGTTTGGTGTTATCATCATAATTAGCTAGTTAATGTTGGTAATAGGGAGAAAGCAAAGGGGAGGCCAGACATTGTAAGCATGGCCCTCTGGGCAGCGTCACCAGGAAGCTACAGCTTCACACTCCCCAGGGAACCACCAGTCCATTCCCTGCAGATCACTGCGGGGAGGGATTGAACAAAGGGATGGACATGGGCAGTGAAGTCAGAGTGACAAAGGCGAGGTGTTTGACTGCCAGTCTGGATACAAGGATCATTGGCTAGGAGGGTGGGAGCCACTACAAGGTGAAAAATCTTGGAAGGGAAAAAATACCCAGGTAAAGAATCTTCTTACTCCTTTTTCCCTCTTGCCCGCTTGTTCTGTGACCTGCACTCACCATGTGCTCACCTGTTCTCTCTCCAGAGCCATGTGGCCTTAAGCAGCTACATGGCCCATGGCCATGAGGACCCCACACACAATGGACTACAGCTGGAAACACAAGCTAAGCTAGCCAGATGCGGACTAGACTGGACTGTATTTTAATTTGGAACAGATATTCTGGATAGTGGTCTTAATCCTGGCCCTGCTGAAGACAAGATTGAGCTTTTTCTATGGCAAGGAGGGATTTTAGAGGGGAACCCTGTTTATTTTACATCATCAAGCTTTCTATGAAACCCTATCCTCCCATGGGGGCCTCTGCTATTTACTTTTCCAAGAACTCCACGTTCACTGATAACATTGATAGATATGTAACAGGGGTGATATTTAACATATTTAGTAATTGATAAGGCACGGCACCAACTGATCAGAGCAGCAGGTTTGTATTAGCTCATTACCAGCCCCATTACTACCAATAATAATTTAAACTAAAAGTGTGCTACGTAAGATGGTTAGCATTGTGCCCAGATAAAATTTCTAAGGTCACAAACTGAGCTCCTATAAAATTTACAAAAGAGTTTACAACAGAAACTGGGTAGAAATAACAGCATGCTATGTGTATAGCTTCATTTCTTCTACCTACTGAAATTTGCTGAACAGCTCAATCCAACAGGTTTTGCCAGGGGAAATCTTAAAGTTCTGATTGACCTTATAAAGTACTTTTATTCTTCAGAACTCTCTTATTTTATAGTTAAAGTTTTTACCTTTAAGATCTTGTCCTCTGAACTTGAATTGAATAAAAGTAAATTTCAATGCGTAATTATTTGATTTAGCTAGATTCCTAATTTAAATTCAATACAAACTAAGTTATTACATTAATTACTCTCTATTGATGTTTTCAACTAAACAGGTCATAACAACAATAATATCCAGTGCCCCAATAATTTTTCAAATCATCATCACCACTCCCAAATGCAGTTTATCATATTAAACACATGGCCCTTGCGGGCAGGGTTTGGCCTGCAGGCCAAGTCTGTACTTCAGATTATTTGTGAAAATAAAGTTTTACTAGAACACAGTCATATCCACTTCTGTGTTTCCTCTGTCTATGGCTGCATACTTACGAAAAAGACAGAGTCGAGTAGCTGCCACAGAGACCACATTGCAGAAGAGCCTATTTATTCTCTGTGGTCTTTTAAGCAAAAGTTTGTGACTCCCAGCTCGAGCTTTTCATTTTAATAAGATTATAAGATTTTTAGAGTCCTTTCTTTATTCTAAAAGCAGTATTTAAGAATAGACAAAAATGAGATTGCCTATGTCTGTACTTACATCCATGAATTCCACATTGGCTTTGGGACCAGTTGTTTCATTAAGAATCTTAATAGCTACAGGAATCTTCACTGTTTCTCCTTCAGGTACCCAGATACCCTTTGAGGGAAAAAAATTCCACATTAAATCTTTATTAAAACATATACAATATTCAATCTAGGAACAAAATTTGATTTAACACTCAACCGATTAATTCCTTAAACATAATTTACAAGTTCTATATTCTTTCATATAATCAACAAATATTTATCAAGCACCTGTTATATGTTACAAGTTACTTAGCAACTTTGTTTGTCTGCTTTTGTTATCTGAAGATGAATTGTACATGTGTTCTGCTTTCAGGGTGTTTACACTATTATAAAATTCCATTGGTGTGCATAAAAAGGTGGTGAATAGTGAAAACTCATTGAAACAAGATATAATAATATATTTGATGTGAATTATATCATCAACTTTCCAAGACTTTAAGAAGGCTGTTCCAATTTTTGAACTTCAATTGTCTCATTTGTAATTTAGAAGGCTGGACTAAGTAATACTGGAGGTTCTCTGCAGCTTTAATATTGTCTAATTAATTCTGAAACCAGAAAAAGAAAAAAAAAATGTTCTCATGTTCCTGAAATTTAATTTACAGATTAATTTTCTAAGGTGATTATTTAAGAATTAGTTTTCAAAGGCAAATACTAGGGAGTATTAAGCACATATTGATTTGTCTATATTATTAAATAGTGTTGTGTATCAAGGATTTTTATCTCTGAAGTAATATAAAATAATAGAGTCCCAGTGCACGAAATTCATGCATGGCTAGGGTCCCTAGTGGCTGCCGGCTGCCAGCCAAGGCCTCCCTTCCCCTGGCTGCTTGCCATGGCCACCCTACCCCACCGGCCGGGGAGAGAGGCCTCAGGCTGTTGGCCAGCCCGCCCTGGCCCCTGGTCAAACTCCTGGTCCTAAATTTGCATGTTAGGTTTTTATTATATAGGATTTATTTTGGCCATTGCCAGTTCTTTCTTCTTATGGAAATGTAATTATAATATCTGAACAGGATCTGTATATTGGAAAAGTATACAGAGTTTAAGTAAAGTACAACATTAAACTAAATAACAGCATTTCTGTATAAACAACTAACTCATTTGATTAAGGACCATGATTTTGGTAAGGCTTAGTTGGATGCATATATTACACAAGAATTTTTTCTTCATTCTTAAATTATATTGAAAGAATATTCAACTATCAGGTTACAGACTGCTGGCTGAGGAAAAATCGGTCATCCTTTAACAGGTGACAAGGATTATAATAATTAATATGTATTGAGATATTTTGTGTATCACACAATTTATTGGAATTCTCATAATACTCTAAGGTAGGTGCTTTTTTAAAAATTTATTTTTATTGTTTAAAGTATTACAAATGTCCCTTGCTTCTCCGATTGACCAGTTCCACCCTGCACCACTACCCCTAGGCCTACACTATTATCTGTCTCCATAGGTTATATATCTAAGTTCTTTGGATAGTTTCTTCCCACTCCCTTCTCCCCTTCCCTCTGAGATTCATCCATGCTCTGGATCTATTTTGTTCATCAGTTTATGTTGTTCATTAGATTCCACATATGAGTGAGATCATATGATACTTGTCTTCCTCTGACTGGCTTCTTTCGCTTAGCATAATACTCTCCAGGTCCCTCCATCTGTCTCAAAGGGTAAGAGATGCTTCTTTTTACAGCTGCATAGTATTCAATTGTGTAAATGTATATTTATACAATATACAAGAATATTTTTAAAGTATATTTTCTCCAGTGAACACATAAGGAAATATGAGGTTATATTTAAAAAGTCTCAAATTTTTTATTTGTTAGCTCTGAAACTAAAAGAATCATCTTAGGTCAGTTTTAACATTAAAATGAAAGAAAGAAAAAAAACAGTCTGTGATTCCTGAACAGAACATCTCTACTTCATGTCTTCCTTAAAGTTAGCTGGTTGTAGTCATAAAGAAATGATTAAACTTTTTTCTACATTGTATTTCTATGCAAAATATGTATTTGTGATACCCAAAGTTGTAATAAGGTAAGGGGAGATCTAAACAATAATTATTAAAGAGTGAAAATAATAAAGAAAAATGGACATAAACCTTTAGAAGGTGAATATAAAGGTTACATTCTTTTTAGAATGAAAAGGGAAATCTGTATGTCAAGTGCAAAAAAACAAGTTCCCTTTTGTATAATAATTTTCAAAAATTATTAATGCTTAAATGGGAGGAACAAACAAAAGCCCATCACCCATAGGCTACATTTTCTCAATGATGGTTCCTAGGGTGGAGAACAGACTTACCATTTTTCAATAAGGTAACATCAGAGAGATTAACCTATAAAGCTATTGCATCAATATTAAAATATTCCTAAATCATACTTTTGAAGTAAAAACATGAATTCAGTGTTAACTAATTTGCAATGCTTTTTAAATAAGTATAGACATTAATTTCTAGGTCCTACCAGACTAAGATACCCATAATATTGGTTCAAATCTTTTATGTTTAAACAGAGAATATATCCAACCAGGAGAAATAATTAACCAAAAATTGCCTAAGTCAATTTGCACTTGTGTAGTCAAAAATAATTCTTTATAGTTTAAACAGTATGTCCTTGTAAGAATTAACATATTATTTAAGACATAGGGTTAATGATAGACACACTACAGTTATGAGTCAAACATACTTATGGAACGTTCAATAACCTTTCAATGCAAGTAATTTTCATAAAGGTATAACATCATGGTCAATAGACAAATATTTGTTCTTAGTGAAAGTATTAATAAAGCTTTAAAAAAATCCCTAAATGGGTAATATTTTCCCTGTTGAGATCACAAGGTCATATTTAGTATTGAGTCATATGGTACCCGTGATTTAAAATAATATTCAATTTCCAAATCATATCATTTTTGAAAAAAAATATAAGGGTGATAGTCTTCTGGGAAACAATTAACAACTGAGTTGTCTTATAAATGGAAGTCCATTTTTTTCTACCATAATAAAAATAGAGAAACAGGATAAATTGTGTTTCTTTGAACATACAAAGAAATGATATGTGGAAGGCATCAAGTAAGCCTACAATCATTTCTATTCAATTACATGCTTAGTTATTACTTTCATTAACCAATGTCTCCCCAATAATTAAATAAAAATTCAAAGAAATTAAAATAGCAATAATAGTAATTTTGAATTTCATTGAATAAAACATGTATACTAAAATATTAAGAAACTTACCCTTAGAATAAAACAATTTTTAAAGAAAGAAATTTTATTGCTTTTAAAACATTCAGTATAGAAAATTAAGATTTGTATTTTAATTTTTAAAATTTTCTGTTTAAAAATCTCTGTCTTAAATAGAAAAAATTAAATATTTAAAAATGAAAAATTCCTAAGATCCCATCTATTTTAACAGTTCCTTACTAATAAAGGCCTAAGTAGTTGTCACACCATGATGCCCTCACGCCATCACAAGAAGGCTGTGCACACAGTGGGTGTATGGAGGTGGGTGGGGCTGGGCTTGATGTTGAATGTGAGGCATGGAGCCTGCCTGGGAGACCCGCCTCTGCGAGGCAAGGCCTGCCTAGGAGTCTGGTGAGGCCTGCCTGGGGGTTCTGCCTCCTCCCAGCTCCGTGTGGGGAGGCATGCCTGAGGGTCCTGGGGGTCCCCGCCTCCCGGCTCCACACGGCGCAGAAGTGGGACCCCTGGCTTTGGCCTACCTCTTTGGGGCAATCCATTGAGGAGCCCCGGATGGGTGGGTGGGGCCTAACCACTTTGGGGCAATCGATCACGGGGCTCCCACACTGACAGGGCACAGGCCAGGCTGGGGGACCACCCCCCTCCCGAGTGCATGATTTTTATGTACCAGACCTCTAATATGTTTATAAAAATGTAGGCTTGCGTGTAGCTTTAAAAAATATATAAAACTGGCAAAGTAAACTTGGAAATTGGAAGAATGAATATTACAAGAACTATTTAGCACTGAGCAAGCAGAATTTCTTCTTGTTGTTAATTAAAAAAAAATTTCACTACTATTAATTGTGGGCCTGGACTCTGAATTGGTTTTGTGATTAAGCTAAAAAGTAAACATACAAATGCCACCATTTGAACTCTCCCTTTCCAGAAATGCTTCTCTTGTTGAAAACGTGTGATGTTACCCTCTCCTTCTGTCTGACCTGAATTTCACAAAAATACTCACTTTTTCAGTTTGCATACAATGGTGAGGATGTCAAAACTGGACATTTTTCTATTAAATCATACATGTTACCGGAAAAACAAAAAGTGGTTTAGGTACTAGTCCTGTCCTATTAAGGAGCCAGCACACTTGTGTGGATTCTAATGGGATTAGCTAAATGGGGAGAAGTTTGAATGGAAGAGAAGAAAAGAAGAGGGGCGATTGCGACACGTACCTGGCCTGTCGGGGATTTTGTAGAGCTCTGTGTAGAGGTTGGGAGCTGGGTATTTTGGATGAGGATAAAATTTGTCCGAGGGGGGATGATATCAAAAGGGGCTCCAAGGTGTTGAGAGAAAGAACTAAATGTAGGCTTTGTATCAATGTTTCCTTCTCTCTCACATTTGTACCCATTCCCAACCTGATTGATAAAAACTAATGAATTCATTTGTGCATCAACATCTCCATAGTATAAAGCTTCTCCTCTCTGGATATTAAAAGGGAATTAAGTTGATTAGAGCAATAACTCTGGCTATTAATTAAAACAAGTATGAGGCAAACTTAAAATAATTGATGGTACATATTAATTTTGTACTTACTTTATACACGGTTCCAAAAGCACCTGAACCAAGTACTTTTACTCTTTTGAGTTCAGTTTCTTTCAAAATACGAAGCTGAGCTTGATTGGGCGCTGTGCCACTTGGAGTTAAGGGTTCTACCAACTAAAAATAAATAAATAAGACAGGTTACAACTTCCAATCCAACAACCACTGCCTCTCTTTCTCTATCCCTCGCTGGTGCCCATTCTCACACATACAAAAACACACAAGCACACTTTTTCTTGAAAAACGATATCTTTGTAAGATGGATGTCACCATTCCTTCAGACCCTATCCTTTCTCTGCTCATGCTCTTTGACTTGGTGAGCTGGAGTTATACTGGGCTTGGAGATTCCCATCCCCCCATTTTTAGAAAAACTTAGAGACTACTTAGAGGCTCTTCATTCTACTTTTTCAAGCCCCTTTCTTTTTGGCATTTCCAGCTAAGACTTGGATGCCTGCATACTCTAGTGAAGTTTTCTTTCTCATTTAAGATGGTTTGGCAGATCAAAACATGAAATGGTGCCTACTTGGCACTTAACAGCCAGAGTAAACATGTCAGAAGAGAGGGGGAAAAAAGAGTTAGCACAATGCCAATACTCCTGGACGGTGCTTCTAAAACTTCCATGTACATATCAATCACCTGAAGCCCTTGCTAAATGGCAGATTCTGGTTCAGTAGGTCTGCAGTTGGGGCTGAAATTTGCTTTTTACAGATCTCCCAAGTATTTCCTCTGTATGATGATGGTCCCTAAACATATTTTAAGTAGCAAGACCCAGATATCTTCTAGATCAAAAATTCTAAAATGCTGTGAATCTATTCTAGATCATGAGTGAATGCTAGGAAATGCAAAGGAATAAAACTACACCAAGGAGTGAGATTAGTGAGGTTTGGTTTCCTGAAGGAAGAACGCTAAAACTGTTCTTGAGATGATGAAAAGCAGGTTGTCATGACAGAGGACACTGCCACCATGAACAGTTTAGACCAGCCGTGGGCAAACTACGGCCCGCGGGCCGGATATGGCCTGTTTGAATTGAATAAAACTAAAAAAAAAAAAAGACCGTACCCTTTTATGTAATGATGTTTACTTTGAATTTATATTAGTTCACACAAACACTCCATCCATGCTTTTGTTTCGGCCCTCTGGTCCAGTTTAAGAACCCATTGTGGCCCTCGAGTCAAAAAGTTTGCCCACCCCTGGTTTAGACACAGGATCAAGGAGAAGGAGGGTACCACAGGGAGCGGAACAGGTCTGAAGGGTGAGGGCCACGAGAGCATGATGTGGACTGGGTGTGGCTGAAGGAGGTAAACTAGGGCTGGTACTGTTAGATGTGATAGTTTAGGTGCCATTCAGTCAGAGAGGGTGAATAAGCAAGGGGACATGTATGTGAATGTGTGCCAATGTCTTGCTTATGTGAGAAACAAAAATGTAGACAATGAAGAGACCCTGGCACCACAACGTCTATATCCTATGTTCAAATTTTAGATGGTTAATTATGCTTAAGGAAAAGGCAAGAGAAATAGAACTTGCTATTTTATTAAGTTAAATAAAGGAGCTAAATTTTAAACACAGACAAATAGCTTGTACTTTATCAGCATAAGGGAGTAATTAAGGGCTACTCCTACTCAAATTATCTTGAAAACCAGCACAATATTACAAGATGTCTGTTTATAGGATAGGGGTAAGTTCACCGTGGCCCTCCAGTGTGGCTATATTATGCTTCTGTGAACATCATGGTTGACTGAATTTAGCTGCACAGAGTGTTGTATGGAGGTAAGCTTAGCCATGGCAAGAACTTTGGGAAGAAGATGCTACAAATTATCAATAAACTTAGGTTGCTTTCTAACAGTCTGACAACTAATATACTTTTATTTCATCTTCAAATTTACATTGTTAAAACACATAACTGCATTTAAGTCACATAAAAAAAATCTTAGAAAAAAATCACAAAATTCTTTGTTAAATCTGAAAAAAAGGGGTCTCCTGAAGAGAGTCCCCTTGATTTGAATTCACCTCTGTTGTGTAGCATTTGGTTAGTACATTTTGATAAACACACAATGAGTAAGTTTTATGAATTATTTTTTTAAACCCTATACAAAAGTCAAATAAAATCATCTGCAAGATTAGACTAGATTTCCTACTTAAGGCTAGCTTTATTTAAATATATACATACATATTTAAATATATATACATATATATATATATATATATATATATATATATATATATATATATGTATACACACACACACACACAGTATCCTGCTTTGGCATATACAATGCAATCATTTCATATTTTGAAAGCTTCACAATTCTACCTGAGATGTTTAGTCTCTTACAATTTCCTGGGGTATCATTTAAAATTGTCTTAGAACATGTTGTTTTCACCCCTTCCCCCAGGAATTTGAGTATTATACCTTTAAATAAAGCATAGTTTCATTTTTGAACCAAAATGGTGGAAAGAGAATTAAGTTTATAGTCATAGGTTTGTATACCAGGGCTACCATTCACAGGCTTAGAAAGCAACTTACCCTTCTGGCCCCCTCATTCCACATCAGTGAAACAAGTAAACCAATAATTACCTTAGAAGATTGCTAAAGAAGGCAATGGTATATAATATAGAGTGAAAACGTTGGCGCATTGCCTGTCATATGTAGGCACTGAATCTGTCACTCTTCCAGGGGTAGGATCAGCTGTCATTAATACATTACAGCATCTATCAAAGCATCAGGCTCACAGTGCATCTCAATAAGTATGTGTTGGAAAAATATACATTTCCTACTTTTATTTTGTAACAGAAGAAAGACAAAAATCTGAAGCAAAAGTTTTGGAAAAGTATGGCAACTTGAAATACATTCTAATATACCATGCTTTAACAAACTGTTCACTGGTGAGTCAAATTTCCAGCTTCAATATTAAGGATTTAAGTCAATCCTCTTAAAAATTCCTCTTCTATTGCCCAACCAGCATGGCTCAGTGGTTGAGCATTGACCTATGAACCAGGTCATGGTTCAAGCCCTGATCAGGGCACATATCCAGGTTGCAGGCTTAATCCCTAGTGTGGGGTGTGTAGGAGCAGCCAATCAATGATTCTCTTTCATCATTGATATTTCTCTCTCTCTCTCTCTCTCTCTCTCTCTCTCTCTTCCTCTCTGAAGTCAATAAAATTATATTTTTTTAAAAAAATCCCTCTTATATTTAAATGGTAAAAAAATCATAGGTATTTACTTATACTGAGAGAAAGATAGGAATGAATTCAACAATTATCTAATTTAGTCCTACATAACTTTCTACATAAATAGAATTTGTGGATAACTTTCTACATAAATAGAATTTGCTTTAGAAACCAATCAGTATGAGTTTATTTAGTAATAAAATGCCAATTTGAAGGACATTCTTAGAAAGCACCATACTAACAAAACAAAACAACTCTTTCCATAACAATGAGTTTTTCTGCACCTGGTTAAGAGACATAATTTCTCTCCTATATATTCAATCACCTAAATGTCCACTGCTGTCCCAAGCCTTCAATTCCTCTCCAATTATTATTTATTCACTTTCCAGAATTCTCTCGCTGACTGCCCCAAGCTAAACACGAGGAAGATTCTGTCTGCCTCCAGCATCCTACCTAAGCTGAAAATACACACAGCACATGCACTGTGCTCAAACTTATTCACATGTGTAAACGTGAAACCAAGTTCTCTGTAAACATCCAACTCAGCTAGAAATCACTACTTATGTTGTCCCATGTATACAACTAACTACCTTTTGAAAGTTTACTCATATTTATTGATGGGACAGCCCATTCTAATTTTAAATAACTCTAATCCTTAGGAAGCATTTTAATATATGAAACCATAAAGTAGCTTCTTCTATCTAACTATGATTTCTTGAGAAAAAAAGCTAAAATTTAATTCATTATCTGTGCAAAATTTATGAATGATTGAATATTTCTATTTCTGTTATTGTTAGGAGGAAAAATCAAGACTGTCACACTGCCAATTAGAAAAAGAAACAAAAGCCAAGGAAAGCTATGTCTCAGAACAGATGAGCTCTGAATAGCTCAGCCTGGCAGGAGTGTGTGTATCAGGAGGAAGCGATAGTATTCCAGTTACGAAGAATCTGGTAATACATATTCTTCTGTAATTGTTTTTTCCCTATAACCAGTACAGTGAAAGCTATCAGCTTTCATGCTAGGGAACTCATAGCAATAGAAAAGAAATTATAATAATATATGGTAATTTACATATTCACAGTAACTAACATGCACAATATTAAATGGATCTCATAAATTGCGTGATAAGGTCTGTGTGATTACAACACTAAGCTTTATCCTGTAAGCTCAGCCTTTCACTGCTGGAATAATGACCCCAATTAAAGCATAAACTGCTTGCCTGTCTGGATTTATTTTGAACCAGAAAAAAACTATCCCTAACATTTTTCTAGATCTGCTACTGAGATATGCTCTATCCAGATAATTTCTAGATATACTAGAGCTTGATAACGGGACCCCTCTCCCAAAAAAATCTGTCTTTTCATCAATAAGGTAATTTCCTTGACCTATGGTTTTGATCCTCTTTAAGCCATGAACATGCCTTGATTACTTTTACTATATACTCTGATTTTTTCATCAATTTTATATAACATACTATAAAATATAAGCCCTCTGAACAAAATTTTCACTTGGATTAAAAACTGAGTATCCTATAAAACCTCCAAACCTAATGAAAATCCCTAAACACATGAAGAGAAGAAATAAACAGGTCACCTCTGTTTCCAGGAATCTTCTCAAGGCTCTTTTCTTCTTGATGCTCTTTCTTCTCGCATAAACTGCGAACGTTAGACCCATGATGACCAGGATAAAGAGCCCTCCAATGACTCCGGCTGCAATTAGAGGAGTTCTGCCAACCAGAATGGAAAAAAAAATATGAAGAGAGAAAAGACAGAGGAAGAACAAAGAGCCACTGTACATATCCACATATCACAAATCTAGTCAGTTAGATGTAATAAAAATAAAAATGCTTTAGAGTTATAGCAAAACTTCTATGGTTAAATAGGTAGTTGTTTTTTCAAGTAATAATTCATGCACATACAATTAATCTTGGGATATGAGCAGCCACACATGCAATTTCATAAAAAAATAATATAAAACGTGGTAACAATGAAGAACTAAGGCCAAAATGTTAATATATGAGCATTTTAAATTATTTTAATGTAACTTTTATCTATAAGTGAATGGAAAATACATCTTAATCAGATTGTGGTATTAGGTAATATTATTTTCAACATTTTCTCTAAAATAGGCATTCTCAACAGTGGCACATTTGGCATTTTGGGCTTGATAATATATTTGTTGTGGGGGACTGGCTTGTGCTTTTTAGGATGGTTAGGAGCATCGTTGGCCTCCATCCACTAGGTGTCAGTAGCACCTCTATCTTCCAGCCATGACACTATCTCTAGACATGGTCAAATGTCTACACAAATCACCCCTTGTCGAACCCCACTCCTCCAAAATATGAGGATACCACTAAGAGAGCTGTATTGGCAGAAGTGCTATTTCAAACTCTGGCAAAGGCAACTCTGTTGACAGGAGAAAGATAAAAATTGAATCAGAGTTATGATGACAGGAGTACATATTATCATCAAAAGTGTGTCTAAGCATCATTTGGCCATAAAACAGGTTTACAAATTAGGTATTGCATAAAAAGGTGTTAATAGAACCAAAGAGGGATTAGAAAGAGACTGAGTAGAGATTTTTATTCTTAACATTGTTGGCTAAGATGTAGTTTTGTTTTGAAATATATTTTTATTGATTTCAGAGAAGAAGGGAGGGAGATAGAGAGATAGAAATATCAATGATGAAAGAGAATTATTGATTAGCCTCCCCCTGCATGCCCCACACTGGGGATGGAGCCTGCAACCTGGGCATGTGCCCTGACTGGAATTGAACCGTGATCTACTGGTTCATAGGTCAATGCTCAACTACTGAGCCACGCTGGTCAGCAAGATGTAGTTTTAAAGTGGATTTTTATTGTTTTTTAAGATAAAATATAAAAAATTAATTTAAAATATTTCTTTAAAAGTAATATTTGTGGTTTTAACTTCTTGTTCTAGAATACAGTAGTAACTAGTAGTATATATGTATTTCTGTATTTCAGAAAATATTTTAAATTTTCAACTCAAGGCATAATTTTTAGTTCAAATGTTCAACATATCCCTGAAAAGCCACTATTCTACAAAAGGGTGTATTTTTGTTTCCTCAGCCCAATTTTCAATTGCAAAGGATTTAAGTATGATTTAGAATAGTGCCCAACATTTTGTTAATTCTAAACTTGCACTAAACTTTAAACTCATCGTGTTTATTTTGCAAAGAATAAGTGATATGCATTTATAAAAATATATGTCAATATCACTGTAAATGATAAGAAATCATCTATTTGGTATTTATTTATTTTTTTCTGTGTGTGTTAAGAAGGATCACTAAGTATGGACCAGAAATTGGAAATATTGGGTTACGAAACAGTAGGATTACAAGTAGGGAAAAGTTGAGACTGTGTGTGTGCATGTGTGTGTGTGTATGTGTGTGTGTGTGTGTGTACGCGCGCATAGATGCATGTAAAAATATCTGGAATAATATACAATAAGACACTAATCAGTAGTTGTCTCTGAATAGTATCACTATGGTGCTCTTGTTTTTGTGTATTTACTTGTGGGAATTTTCTAATTTTCTACAATGTATTTATTTCATTTTTGAAATAAAAGTTTACTAAATTTAAAAAAAAAAACCCACAAAAAAATAAATCATTGTCCAAACCAAGCATGTCAAACTCGCGGCTAGTGGGCCACATGCCTCGAGTATTTGGGCCGTGTTAGCCTTTGAGTTTGGCATGCTTGGTTTAAAAGTTTATTTTTATAATACTGACTTTGTTTTCTTTTCTTTCTTGAATGTTTATTTTGTTATTTTATTTTTTAAATATATTTTTATTGATTTTAAATATATTTTTCAGAGAGGAAGGGAGAAGGAGGGAGAGATTAGGAACATCAATGATGAGAGAGAATCATTGATTGGCTGCCTCCCACATGCCCCCTACTGGGGACTGAGCCTGCAACCTGGATATCCCCCAGGACTAACGCTGGCAATTGCCAACTAAACTATATTTCTGAAAGTATTTCCTCTTATATGTGTGAGCAACAAATGTTTATCCATTCAATTGTTAGACCAATTTAGAGAATTACAGAGACCTCAAGCTAACAAGTCTTTATACTGTGTGTGTGTGTGTGTGTGTGTGTGTGTGTGCATGAATGGTTCATAAATTAAGGTCAGAAAGATGATTCTCTGTAATCTTATATATATTTTTAAAAGATATAATTAGGTAACATTGCTATGGTCCTATACTTTAGCTTCCTTCTGACAAATTTATAGTGGCCATCAGACAAAAGCATGAGTCTAGCATAAACCAGAGGTTAATGTATTTTCATCAATGTACTCCATGTTTCTTAATTTGCTCTTGCTATCAGAAAACATACAGTTGATCAAAAATGTGTTGCTTCTTTATTTAAAGAAAATTTTTACAATCACTTGTCAACTGAGATAGAAAACACAACTCTGAAAATAACATTTTCAATAGTGTATTAACTATGTAAGCAGTTTAAAAATAGCAAGTTTATATAGGAGAAACATAAGATTTGACTGACATCAAAGTCAAGGTACTGATGGGTTTTATAAAACATGTAGTGTCACTAACCATTCACTTCATTTTCAATGGGAATTAATCTAATAGAAATCAAAATGTCAAAGACTTTCTATCCAGATATAGAAAACATTCATTTCCATAGAGCTAAACCAGAGATTTATTTTGTCCTATACACTACCCTTAAATTCAAATAATTTAAATAGATTAAATATAAAGTTTCCATTCTAATAATACTTGTATATTTTTCATGAATATTTTTAACAAGCATTATCTACTTTTATAATAATATGTAAAATAGATCTTATAAACTCCATACTCAATAAGAAATTGACTCTCAATAGTTAATATACCTAGATAAGTTCAAACATAAATGATAATGCTAACATTTTACATCTTAGAATCTCAAGTCCCTTAATTTTTTTAGCTATGTCATGTTGTCTCTCTTTCTACGTATGATTCAATCGAATTGTTTTTTAAAGTAGCTAAATATGATTCATCAGATTTTTCTTCAATACCTGTATTTGATAGTAGAGAATAAAAATGCACATGTGTTTATTTAGGGGTTCTAATAAACTCTTTGATTTTATATTTACTTACATCTTACTACTGTGATTTTCATCAGATTTTTGTTTCATCTGCATCGCTATGTTCAGTGTGTTTTAAATTTAATAAATACTTTATGCCCTTATTGGAGTTTGTAAGTGACATTATTCTTTACTTAGATTCATTTCATTTGTTTTCTCAGTTAAGAGGGTGTTTTGGGGGAGGGGGGCTTTAAAAATTGCATTTCCTTTAAGAAAGGCAAGGACAAGCAGTGTCTGTTATCCTACTGACAGTGCCTCTGAGCTGCCACTCGGTTCAGTCTTCCCCAGAGCAGCTTGGGTTTGGAACAGGAGACCTTGAAGCACTAGGAAACACTGAAATTCCACAGAAGACATTTTAAGGGTCACTGCCTAGGGCAAGGAGAGCCGCATTAACAGGATTTTTTTTCCTCCTGCAAATTGTGCTTATTCTGACCCAGAATTCCACCTGCTCTATAAATATGACACACAGTTTCCTTTTGAGGAAATGAATGTGATCTGGGTCAGAATCTGATGTAGGCCTCAGTTGACAGTTACAGTATTTGTATGCCTCTGCTTTGATTACAATTTGAGATTCCTCTGTTATGTCTTAAATACGACCAGGATATACATAAGTGCCGAAACATATGACTTTCAGCATACTCTCCCTCTTCCTAAGCAAATTTGAATGTTTCGTGATTTTTCTTCATGTGTTAAAATAAAATGTTTTCAATGATATTCAATATGTAAATGTTACATATTTAAATCAGAGTTTCAAAGCATTTCAGTGGAAATATTATCATCAATATGTAACATCATCTGGGTTCTTTATTTCTAGTCTAGGATTAATAACTGAGAAAAATTTCTAACAGTTTCACAGTAATTTCTTCCTTCTCTTTATAGGCAATATTTACACATATCCATGTTTTTTTGTTTGTTTGTTTACCAGTCATAGGAAAGTACACAACTTGTACATTTGATTTTTGGAGCATTCTATGGTTAAGACATCATCCTGAGAATATCTATAACTCACTTATGAATTTTACACCTCTAAATTTTTTCCAGGTTAATTGACGTGTAATTGAAAAATAACTGAATTTGTATAAATAAAACAGTGAATCAGAATCTGACCAGAAAGAACTTTTCTTTTAAAGGTCCTTTTACGGTGAAATTCAACTATTTTTACCAACAAAATAAACATAATTTTATATGGTAAAAACATAAAATAAAAGAAAAGGTCAATTATTTTGACCTCAGATCAATTTTTGGTGCTCAGATTTTTTTCATGGTTTACATCTATTTAACAGCATCATACATGTCTAAATTAGTAGAGCAGTTTTATCATTGTCTACATAGTTCAAATACATAAATATGTTTAATACCACAAACAAAACATTGTAAACTTTTAATTAAAAATACATTATCTACAAGTACTACTCCATCCTATTATATATTCATTACATAGCCATGGTAATCTGAAGCAATATGACAAAAGATTAAAAAATTGAGGATAAAGCTCTTAACTTCAGTTGCATTACCTACCAAAATGGTTCAACATGTTCTGGAATTTATTAGCTTCATGTAAAGCAGTAAATATATTTTCATAAACTCTGCTTTATGAAAAAAGTGGAGGAGGTTAAATCATTG